CGTTTTTGTTTGTATTCCACAACCAGGATTTCGCGTAGCTTTTTACTGACGCTTTGTTGTATACTCTATCCTCAGCGGTATTTCCAAACTGTTATGTTTTAAGGGCGTTCAAAAAAAGGGCGTAATTTTCTCTTTAAAAGAGGCATCGTATCTGCGGTTACCCTGGCATTACAGCTGTCCACGTCATAGCATTGCGAGGTGATAATTTTGATAAAGTTGTGTACTATTGTAATATTTGTACTGTTTCAGGTTCCTCTTCAAGTATGTTCAAACGGGCAGACATGTAATGCACACAAGGGGGGTTGCTCCGAGAGGGCCGTGCCCGAGTGTCAACCTACCACGCAGAAACATAAGCATTCCTGTGAACAGGTAAATATTACCCTAATAAGATTGTACTTTAACACTCGCTGAATGAATTTCGTTACAAGGATTTTATAAAATTTTCCATTGTTAAGAAGAAAATCGGTATCACGCTCGGGAACGGGACAACACTAGATTATCGGTATACACGTCCCTTCCCTATAACATCTGTCATTGTCATTAAGACGTTTAGAAATAGCGCGCCATACTGGCGGGAGTTAGTGGTCAGACTTTAGAGATTAATTACGCTATTACAATTATAATGTCTAAAAACATAATGTAAAAGTAACCTTGTAAATGCAAAAGATGGTGTTTTGGATGATAGTTGGTGATGAACGGGTGAATAAATCTCTATGAAATTTGGCATAGATGTAAAGAAGAAAAAGGCTACATAACTTTTTTGTTTACGATTTCGCTGGCGATATGTATTTATAATTAGGTTAGTTTTATTTTCGATTTTTTAATACATCTTATTGTTTTATATAAAGCGGATGTTATTTTCTTTGTCAGTATTTTTTTTAAACAGTTCAAGGGAATGTCAAAGCGGAAATATCAATGTTATTCTTATTGGTTGTGCCAAAATTCACCTTGAACTTTTGTGAAAGATTAAATCTGCACAGAGCTATTGCGATTTAATATATCGCTCAGTAAACACTATATTACTTATTTAGGTTAAGTTTTATTGCAGAAAATATCGTAAAAGTGATATTATTTGCGTAAATACTTCTGTTAAATGTCATAAACAAGGAAGCAAGTCGTGGAATATTTTCGAATGCAGTTGTTTTAAAAAATAAAAATGTTTTATTTATGTTGCAAAAATATGCTTACTAGATTGCCCTTAAATTGGATCCATTTTAGCGAAATAATAAATTCAAATTCCGAACGTCAGAAAAAATTGATCGTTCCATTCTTAATGGCATTGTCAAAAAACAAATGACAAATCTTAAAAATCATCGGAGATAGAATTGTCATTTGTTTTTATATTTTATTCTAGAGGCCCGTTTATTGAATAACTAGTTGTTGCCCGCGACTTCGTCCGCCTAGTACTAGAAAAGATACGAAGTAAATACATAACAAAAAGCTACGTATCCCTCGGGAACTGGACACTTCTGGAGGATGAACCTTATCCCATGTGTACTCCAGACTTTGTTTTATATCTGTGCCAAACTTAAATAAGATATGTTGAACCGTTGCAGAACTATCGAGTAAACATTAAAAAACTAAATTAATTAATCCCACGGGAACCGTAACTATTGCCGGAATAAAATGTAGTCTATGTATTCTTCCAGACTATTGCTCTAAATCTGTGCCAAATTTCATGGAGATCCGTTCAGCTGTTTAGGCTACAAACGCTAACAAACATCCATCTATCCATCGTAACTTTTGCATTTCCAATATTTATATGATATTCATATATTACATTGCACAAATGTAGACTTACTAGATTAAATTGGATCTTTTGTCGAAATTGTTTAAAAAAACAATTGAAATCTACAATCGTACACTTTACAGTTATCAAAAAAAGGTTATCCCTCTGGGTAATCTATAGAATTTTTACAAATTGTCGATTTTTTTTTCTAGTCATTCCATCCATTACTAGTCTTAGAAAGTTTTTCGATCTATAAACACCAGCAACGCTCCACTGATTGCTTCCCCCGAGGCTGAATAGATAGTGCTGACTTTTGTTAAAATCAATCCACGAAAAGCGTTACTCCGTAATAGATGAGTTCACTTAATTAAACGATTATTGATTGTGAGAAAAAATAACGCGCGCCTTTGACTGAACTATCGCACAACTGTTTAGTCGCGCTTTGATTCTTATAAGCTTATATGGAGGTGCACACTACTCGATTTTTAGTTGTGCAACTAAACAGTTGAATTGGCTGCAAAATAATAGACAATCGCAACAGCTGTGCCATAGTTTTTTTTTTATAACACAAGGTGACAAACGAGCAAGCGGCCACCTGAATCCGCCAAAATACCGCAACCGCTGCCCATAGACATCCGCGATTGCAGATGCGTTGCCTACCCTTATCCGACAGAGGAGATGAGCATAAAGAGGATATTTCCCCTTCCTATGCATCTCCTCTGCCGTCAAATCCACTTCCCGTTCCCATCCTTTCCTTATAAGAAAAGGGTGGTAAAGAGAAAAGGACTTAAATTAGGCCTCCGGCACCACACTCATCAGATGAAACACGAAATTGCTTCCATTTCACGCCTGTTTTCTGTGTGGTCGTGGTATTACACCGGGCGTGCCGGTCCATTCGTGCTAAGATGTTAAAGCGGGCACTACCACTATTAGGTAGGTATAGTTTAGTCAAAGGAGTGCGCCCGCTCTTATAAATATCTTCAGATAACCATCTATGATTCCAGTCAGTCAATATCGATCAATAGATGGCGCTGAAGGACTACATGCATTATTTGTAAAATAATTATATCCTTTATTACACAAAGTAATATTTATTTAAAATAGTAACGTAATATATAAGAACATAATTTGTAATTTGTCGTAATTTATTTTGTATATTAGATAATATAATTCTTTCACAAATACCGTCTAATTCTTTAGCGCCATCTATTGATCAATATTGATTTTATCCACATACTTTCATTTAATGTTCGTAGCCAAAGAGCTGTTAAAAATTACACTCTTTTTGGTACATTTTTCGAATCGTAATATAGTTATAATCCGTTGAAATAATGCGTATTGATTATTTATTCAGGTGGGAATATTCCCGGACGCTTACGATTGCCGTAAGTTCCACCTCTGCTCACCAGCCGAGGGTCTACCTGATGGAAGGCCGGCAGATCACAGAGCAGCATTGTGTCCCAGACACTATGGATACAATCCCCAGTACGCGCAGTGTTCGGTAAGTGATAAAGTTATACTACACATTTTTTGTAGATTTTTGGATATTAAAAAATAAAAATGTTGATATAGTAATCTTTAAATACATTGTTAAATTTATTGTTTAATGATTATCTATACAAATGTTATACAGAAGAAAGATTGGTATTTTTGTATGTATTATAATAACTCATTAACTACTGGGGCGATTTTAAAAATTATTTCACCGTTAGAAAGGTAATTTATCTGTGAGTAACATAGGTCATGTTTTTAATTTACGCGGACAAGGTCGCGAACATCAGCTAGTTTTAAGTAAAAAGCTAGAACTTTATTCCAAGCTTTTACTGTATAAATTACACGTAAAAGAAGTGCGAAAATTCTCTCCGTAAAGGTGGAAACTTAAGGAAAACACAAAATGCCCTTAAGGGACGCCTCCACGCGCTATTTTGGGCCTCACTACCAAGATAAGAAAAGAATTGCCTCGAGTGAACTAATAAATTATTACTGTAGGCTAAATTGGGGACATGAAAAGCTAATTTGAAATGCCGATGTCGAAATCTGTTTTATAAATAAAACAAGCTACCATTTCACTGTTGTTCTTAGATTAGTAGATTGTACAATCGCGGAAATCCGTAGTATTACATTTAAAAAAATAATGCCTTGTTACAAGAAAAACTTCGCCCTTTCTTACAATTAACCCAATTATTAGCTACTAGCTGTTGCTTGCGACTTCTTCCGCGTGAACTTAAAAGAAAAATAAAAAACTATGTTTCTGACAACGTAGCTTTTTAATACATGCATAAAATACAAATCTTTCTTTAAAATGTACTTTAGTGGCGCCTACGAAGGCATAATGATAAGCAATCAAACGTGAACGATATTTCTTCATAGAGACAAATTAAAAATCTACATTCTATTGGTTATTGTTCCACGTCTGAATGCGTACAAATCTTCAAGCGACTGTAGTTTTTTAGGTAGTGCAACGCCAAATTCCCCTACTGTACATCTCTACTTTCAGATACGTCTATCGAATGGACAATGCAGTGAAAAGCCAGTACCAGATTGTAAAGCAGTGGGAGAGACTGGACCTTTACCTAAAAGTCCGAACCATTACTACGTCTGTCTACTAAAACGAGGCATCTTACATCCTCAAGTGTTCATCTGCCCACACGGATGGTACTTTTGGGATGGTTTCTGTAGACCTGAACCACAGGAATCTGTCTCAATAGAGAAAACAACTAATAGAAACTCTCAGTTAGATAATAAATATGTAACAGAACCAGAAACGACGGTAAAACCTACGACTAGTAAAATTGAAGGTTTCTTCTCAACAGAGAAAGCGGCATCGTATCCTCCCGATACATTCTTAGCTGATAGATTTGATTTGAGTAACTACGAAACGACAGACGATGTGGTGCCACAGAACGAATATGCCAATTCATTTGAAAGTAATGATTTTTGGTGAATAATCATCTAGAAATATAAACTAGCTTTCGCCTACGTATCCGTTCGAGTGGAATTAAATAAAAACAAAGTAGTCTGTGATCTTCCATACTATCCTCTACAAAAATCCCAAATTTCTTCGAGATCCTTCATCAGTTTATGGTACAGATTCTAACAAACATCCATCTAAACTTTCGCATTTATGATATAAGTAATGTAATAATATTAATAAAGATAAAGCTTTAAAATGTCACTACAAAATCATTTTATAAAATAAAATTTACTAACTAGTACAAAAAGTGTTTTGTTTATAAACCTTCTAGCTTTTACCAGCTTAGGTTACTTCATTTGAGAAACCATCACCTTGTAACATAAAAAAATCGTGAGGAATTATTAAAAAAATAGCAATGTTTCATCGAGATCCTTTAAGCCGTTTTGGGAATACTTAGTAACAAATGGATAATGGTTGGATAACCATATAAACTTTCCTTAAAAAATATTAATCTGAGTGTTACCCATAAATTTTCAAATGAAAGAAAAGTATGAAAGAAAATCAAGGGTTTTACATTTATGTTCATAAGGTGAAATCTGATTACTTGTAAAACAGAGATAAATAAATAACACCTTAACCATTTGCTGCCATATATATGCAATTTCTAAATCAAAATTCCATTAAACATTCGTGCATCGCACTACCGATAAGTCCTGTAAACTCTAAAAGGTTTTGTCTAACACATTTCCATTGGTACCCCGTAATCTTTTTAAAACGCTGACATTTTCTCCACTCCACCCCTTTAAGATGGAGCGTGCAGATACCGTGGCACTTACAAAACGTCACGTCATTATCGCGATACGAGTACTAAACGAAATTCGTACCGCAGCGTAGTCTCACGTCCAAAACAATCGCCTATCTTACTATTCACCAAGCGTTTGTACAAACAAAGGACAAAAGAAAAAACAAATTTACACGCGAAGGTAATAAAGACAGCATTTATCAGTCACCAGTCATCTTTCATTATGTCTTTTTGAAAACTGAAAGCCGAGTAATCATCTAATGTTGTAAAGAGAAAAGAGTTGTATTTTTGCAAATACTAAATTAAAAAATAGTAAAACTGGACAAAAACAAATAGCGGAGTTTTAGAAAAACAAAAATCTATCAATTACCTAAGAAATCTATTACCTAAACATATTAATATAACAAGAAAACTAAAGCTTAGCTAGACTTTCATCAACATCACAATAGCAAGCATGTCCACGTAATTGAGGCATTCCTGGAGTTCGTAGCTATCGCCGTTACGCTAGACCTTTGTCCTGGGGCACAAAGGCCTATCTCCGCGATCTTCCCGAGCCTCAGACTTCGGCTACAAGTGTTACTAACAAACATGTTTTGCAAGCCTGCGTCACAAGCTGTTCACCGATTGTAAGTTTTGTTAAAATAAATGTTTTAAAATCGTTTGACTGTGTTCATTATATTCACAAGTTATAAAAATCAATTTGTGTAACAAAAAAAAACTTAAATCTTCTTCTTTTCATCTTGAACTCTATTTTGCACCTTCATTTTCCACGGCTGTCCGCTGTCATCCCGGCAACGATATTCGGAAAATTAAATTCAAACTCCGAACGTCAAAAAGATTTTATTCGTTCCGTATAATGGCTTTGTCAAAAAACAAATAACAGTTCTATTAAAAAAACAACTTTGAAGATAGAATTGTCATTTGTTTTTATGTTTTTTTTTATATTAAATTCCGATTATTGAATAATTAATTTGATTATGTAACATGTATTGCTGTCTCTATTTTGAAAAAAGAAATGACAGAGATGGAAATACATTACGTGTCCCGGCAATTCAAATCCCACTATACGAGCGGGCAGATCTTGAGTAAACTCGACTAGTGTGTTCACCTCCATATAAGACTAAACAGTTGTGCGATAGTTTAGTTTCAGATGTGCGCTGTTAGGATTTGGCTTTCATATAAAAAATAATACAGCTTTTTGTAAAAAATACAAATGTATACATATAGCGTGCTTATGTAACTCGCATTTCTCATATGCATATGAATGTCATTAAGACTAGGTAATGAATGTAAGTAAAACATTTTACGTACACAAAAATATAAACAAAGCTCTCTGCAATCAAACCGCATGTTTCTGCGAAAAACATTTTCGTTATAGCAGAAGAAAATTTGTAAATTTTTTCGCAAATTATCTGTGTTCTGCGGTTGACGTGCTTTTTATTTTGGAGAGAGTCCAAAAGTAATTCGGGTCTACAATGTGCGCATTTTATTACGCGGTGGGGTCATTACGGCTCGCGGGTTTCGGGGCCCCACTTACAGCGGGGTGTTCAAAACACAGTTTATATAAAGTAACTTAAGAGACAGAGCATTTCGCGACGTTATAGAGAGGACATTAACTGGCGATAATTTGCGATCTTCTATTATGCAGTAAGTAAAAAAATAGTTTAAAATTAATGAAAAAAACTTAACAATTTAAACAACTGCATTAACAAGATATTATCAATCAAATTTTTGTAAGAGTTTTTAGTAATGTTTTCTTATTTTTTTATTTCTAACTACCGTTTATCTTAAACCGTAACATTTAAATAACACTAAATTAAAATCATTACCTCATAGTAATAAATCACAGCGTCTCCTAAATACCATAAATCGAAGCTCTCGCAAATTCCCAGCTAACATCGCCTGTAAAGCATTAAGCATGTTACGAAGATAAGCACTTAAATACTAAACGTGTACCTAAGATTAATAGTGCTTTAACATAGTACAGTTAGGTCAAATCATCTTCAATCTAAAATTATATTAACGCTAACTATTACCCGTGATCTATACTATTATAATAAAGTGTAAACACACATTTCTTTGTTGCCTAAGATGTCAGCAATCCCAGCATATTTTTGAATAATGCCTTTTTTTAATAAAAAGCCCTACACTTACGTAATGCTTTAAGCTACATATTTTTACGTCATTAAACTTAGGGGGTAAATATTTTGGATAAAATCCCTAATGTGGGAAATAGACCATAAGTTGCTGCCAACATCAAAGAAGCACGGTTGCCAAGGTTTGTCATGTCATGTCATTTTGACATTTGCTATAATTTGACAAATGTAAACAGTAAAATAAAATTTTCATAATTTCATTCGGATGAAGCCGCACGGGAACAGCTAGATTTAGAATAAAAACTTCACAAGTAGTCTATATTTTCAGACTGTGTTATTATCAAGATCTCTTGAATCGTTCTGGAGATTACCAACTTCCATACAACTAAACATTCGTATTTATAACATTAGTATGAAGTATTATGCGAAAGTATAGATTGAAGGATTTTTACTATAATAAACTCCCGAATGTGACGAAATCACGGTAACAATCAGTTTTACAACAACAAGTGTGCATGTTTGGATGTTTGTAACCAGGTTACTCATGAACGGCTTTATGTTTTTGAATGGCATTTAGAGCATATATAGAAAACAGTCCCCACTAAGATATAAACACATAATGCACATGTAACAGTGGTAGTGCCCGCTTTAACATCTTAGCACGAATGGGCCGGCACGCCCGGTGTAATACCACGACCACACAGAAGACAGGCGTGAAATGGAAGCAATTCCGTGTTTCGTCTGATGAGTGTGGTGCCGGAGGCCTAATTTCAGTCCCATTCTCTTTACCACCCTATTCTTATAAGGAGAGGTTGGGAAGAGGAAGTGAATTTGACGGCGGAGGAGATGCATAGGAAGGGGAAATATCCTCTTTGTGTGCGTCTCCTCCTCCGTCGTATATGGGTAGGCAACGCATTTGCAATTGCGGATGTCTATGGGCAGCGGTCGCTTCGCCATTTTGGCGGTTTTAGGTGGCCGCTTGCTCGTTTGCCACCTTATGTTATAAAAAAAAAAATGCAAACTGTATATTTCCCGAAGAATGAATGTTTTTCTATAGTAGTTACGAAATTGATGATAGATACAGTTTTTATGCCACGCAGAGTTACGGGTAACACTTAGTGTAGTAAATTTATTATGCATTCGGTATGTAATTTTGTTGTAAGTGGAAATCTAATGACACATCATTCTTGTCTAGAATCATTAATAAGCCTACATTGTCTTTATGACACTATTTCTTATAGTGATAGAAATAATAGAGGCAATACAACAGTATTTGGCGTAAAAATCAAATATAGAAGAGGAAAATAATTACATGGCCACTGAAAAATTATCATTTTTAACTTAATACGATAGTAAATCTACTAGTAAATATGCTTTTCGAGATATTAAACAAAAATATGCAATTACTTATTTTACGTCTACGAACTTTTTTTAATTTTCAGGGTAAAAAAATTATTTAATTCTGAGCTAATCGGCTACTTTTTTACACCCATACCCATTTCTTTTTGATGTCTGATAGCGGATTCTACAAATTCATAAAATTTTAAACTCCGCTTTATTTTATAACTTGTACCACACACCCGCAGTGCAGGGCTAACGGTGTACAAAAAACGAGAACCTCTGACATTAGACACTGGAATTGCATCAGAGCTTCGACGTGGGAAGTTTACCTATAGCCGATACACTACGATAGATCGATTGTATGGAGACGGCTTTGTTAGATACGGCTCGTTTCAACATCTCGGTATTATTTCAATGCATTGTTGAAGTTCTGTGACAAACACTACTTGTATTCTAATTTTTTAGCCTTTTCAAATAGTTTATCGATTCGAATGCTTCGTTTGATTTACAAGTTATATAATTTTTGAGTTGATTTTAAAACCTTTGTCTATTTTTTGCAGATTTTATCAAAATTATATTACAAATTACATTGAAATCTTTTTACTAACCAATAATAAATAATAAGAAAACATTTTATCAATCTAAAACTTAAAGGCGTTATTTAAAAAAATCTGATAGTGTTCTATTTTTTTTATTATACTTGTTTTTTTACGTTTTATAAATTTAGTAACTCGCTTATGTTTTATAGATTGATTTTTTTCGATATAAAATAATCGCTTTTTCTAATTAAATCGCCACTTAAATAGTTTACATAATAACCACCTGTAAACATATCATGGTCAAAATGACAACAGAAACAGGTTCTGTGTTCGATACTATGTTATCTCGGTTGGTAATTTCAACCTAGATCGTTCGCGTTTTAATTTTCATACAACAAAAGGTATGAGGATAAATTAACTGTTACTCGTTAACTTTGATATAGTGTTTTATTGATTTTATTTTCATCATAAGGATAAACTAACTGGACCGCATTTACCACGGGGAGTGTTCCGAGGAGTTGTTTGGAACGATTCCTGCCGCCGAGTTTCGTCATCGGACGACACGACAGACCGCCA